GTAAAAAAACAAAATAAAATATACGTGTTTAAGCGTTTTTTCGGAAACTTGACTGTTTTTAAATAAAAAATATTGTAATATTTAAGGGGTAGTTTCACCCTCTTGGAACTGGAATTTCGAAAGATCCCTTCTTATCGAACCTCTACACCCTAGAATCAACCTGTATGCCAAAATTGAGCGTCTTACGTTAAGTGGTTTGAGCAGGATCGTGATTAATCAGTATGTCAGTCACTTAAGGATTTTATATATTAGTATAGATTAGATATTAGAAGAGGCGTTAAAGTTGTACAGTCGCAGTCGTCTAGAATTTCGTTTTATTTCAAATAGTCATCTAACAGTTATTTGTAAAAATCTACCTTCAAATTACTAAAAAATTATAACACGGCTCAGAGAAAGCTACAATTAAAATACCAGCAAAAATTTGATTTTGGTATTGCCAAATTCGATGTCACATTTTTTTTGGTTTACAAGAATTTCTGTAATCTTTTTTTACCCTAACTTTCTCTCTTTTCTTGCCCTAACTTTAAAACACCCTGTGCAATAATTTTGTGTGTAAATTTTCCTAAAATATAATTTTACGGTCAGAACCATGACTTCTGATAATTTTGTTTTTTGAATCATGTCATTACATACTTTGGTTAATTTATATTTTAAAGAGCGAAATGAACTGATCACGATCAATTTGCAGTTTTTTCAATTATCATTACTTTTTGATGTCATTTTTTAATATGACGAGATGGTTTTGGTGACTGTTATCGTAATGTCATATTACGCTGCATACTCCATACTAAATTTAAAAAGAAAGCGTTAAAGACTAACGATACAGCCCTGGTTTTAATAAACATTAATAACGATAACAGAACTAACGATATTAAAGAAAACATCTGTAATACTCTAAACAAACAAAAATTGTAAAAAATATCCTAATACTTTGTATTGCCTCCCCTGGCTGCTAGAACTGCCTGTGTACATCCGTTCATACTGGCATTGAGACTGCATATACCATATTGCCTCATGCTTTCCCATTCTTCTTAAGAACCAAACGAAGTTCATTTAATGAAGCTGGTACAGTACGTCTGTCCGTTCTGTAGCTACGGGGTATCCGTGAGAGGGGAAACGATATTCTCTCGATGGTTTTCGTAATAAATTAGACGACGCGGCCCATCAATAAAAATTCGACAAATTTGCAAGAAGCCAATAAAATGAGTGGGCGGAGCGATTTGCGGTGACGTAATCGTCAAGTCGACGTATAAAATATATTGCTGTTTATTTAAATGTTTTTTGTCCGCATTCCTTTCATAGACACAGATCCAGCAGACGTACTGTACTTCGCGACCTCTAACCCTCCTACCAAGCATTTCCCAAACTTCGAACATGATAAGCAGTTCATAGGAGTATATAGTTCACAATAATCACCAAAGCCGCCTTGTCATATTGAAAAATAACTTCAAAATGAAATGATAATTGAAAAAATTTCAAATTATTGGTGGCGAGTTCATTTCGCTCTTAAAAATTAACCAAGCATCTATTGACATAATCCAAGAAACAAAATGCTCAGTAGACCTTGACCAAAAATTTCTCCGTTGCGTTTTTTTGCATCTGAGTGTATCCTAAATATTTAGTGGGACAAATTATGAGGGGAGTAACCTAAACACGGTTTATATCATATTAAACACACTTTTCAAGAAGCTTTTTTAAATAGTCTACAGCAATTTGTTTTTATATCTGAAAAAAAGTTTAAAGAAGCTCTAATATTTTTAAAAAAGGCACAGAATTACTGGAAAAATAAGATAGAAAGGTCGACGATTATGAGTTATAGTGCCCTTCGATGTAATAAACGTAATAAATTAAAAAATACTACATTAAACACATCCCTGGCGTGGAAATAAAATTAATCGTCACAGGCCTAATTGCACGGTTTTTCTTGGGGTGCACCGATAAACGATTGAAATATGCACATTGCATGCGCTTTGAAGTCGTTCGTTTCGTGAATAATTTACGTATTTTTGTTTCCGCGCATAGATCTTTTTATGATAGAATACTCAAACGTGTTCGTTTTTCATTCTTTTTGAAACATATACAGGGTGAGTTTTCTACGATGGTATCTCAGAAACTACTGGAGATACAGAGTCGGTTAAATGGGGAAAGAATTGCTGTTTTGTGGGGTCATAAATATGCGTCTTTCAGATTTTTGAAAAAGTTCATGGCTTACTAGATATTTCGAAAAACACAAATCTTGGCTATTTTAAAAATTGTCTCTAATTCCATTATAATCTACTTTAGACAAAAAGTTTTCAGATAAAAGTTGTAGATAATCACATCCCTAATAAGTTTGCGTTCTCCGATTTTCTCTAAAGCCTGTCATTTTTGACATATAACTCAAACATATGTTTTTTTAAATGAAAACCATAGTTGGCCATGACTTCATAAAAAGCGCCATTCTTTAAGCTTTTCAGCGATATAAGTTAGTTATAGCCAATTCTTATCTTTCTTGACTACGTTCACTTAGCTGGTATGGTATTCTTATTCTGTTATAATTTATAACTTATAAAAAGACAAAATATTTTAATAACGATTCTTTACAATTTACATTACACAAACTAAAACTTAAAAAAATAATATCACTACCTACGCTTTAAGTTATTTCCGAAAATGTTCAAAAAATTCTCCATTGTTTTGAGTGTATAAATGTATCTTTTGAAAACAGAGAACGACCTCGACAGGTCGACTTTATTAAATTTCTCCCGTTCCGCCTCTTCGAGTGCCTCTCTTAATTCGTAAGTGCTTTGGAAACCTTGCTGTTAACTATACCGCATAAAAAAAATCTAAAATGGATAGGTCAGGTGATCGAGGAGGTCAATGCAATTGGTCCACCACCTCTTCCTATCCCTGAGTTTGCATAATTATGATATATAATTTTTAAGATTTCTTTCATTATGGTGAGGGGGGGTGGGGGTTGGCCAAATAAAAGTCATGTTACAACCACTCTATGTCTTCAAAACCGTTCTCTAGAAAACGTAAGTAATGATCACCGGTCAACGTATCCTCAAAAATGTATGGCCAAGAAAAGTTGAACCAATAATCCTACACGCTTTCCTTCATTTGAAAAATTCATATTTACAATTTTTGTTTATTTTAATTTACAAAGTTTGGATGTGACAGTTTCACATTTCTGAGAGTAACGACGATTGAACTTCATGGCTAACAGAATGAAATTGTTTAAAAATGATTATAATTGGCTATAACTGAGTATTTTTTCGAAAGAAACATATTATAGCTTATATCGCTGAAAAGCTTAAAAATGGCGCTTATTATGAAGTCACGGCAACTATGGTTTCCATTTAAAAATAATATGTTTGTGTCATATGTCAAAAATTACAGGCTTTAGAAAAAAAAACGGAGGGCACAATCTCATTAAGAATGTCATTATCTACAACTTTTATCTGAAAACTTTTTGCCTAAAATAGATTATAATGGAATTAGGGACAATTTTTAAAATAGCCGAAATTTGTTTTTATCAAAATATCTAGTAAGCCATGAACTTTTTCAAAAATCTGGAAGGCGCATGTTTATGACCCCACAAAACTAAAATTCTTTCCCCATTTAACCCACTCTCTATCTCCAGTAGTTTCCGAGATACCCATAGAGAACATCGTAGGAAACTCACCCTGTATATATGTATTTAATTATTACATTTTTTCTTTTCTTCATACCCCCATTTATATTCAAAAAAACACAACAGAATTATTTTTCGTCAAATTTAAAATATTGTTACGTTTTTCGTCGGTTCCGTGTGGATAGAAAGTCACAATTTATTTAAACACTATTTATTTAACACTAATTAACAAAAACAATAACGATAAAAGACTTATAGAACTATTTACAAACGATTTATAACTAAGAATTTATTTTGAACTTTAGCGCGTCAACTGTACTGTTTATTTATAACTGCCCCCTGTAGGCCACAGCCGCCGGCTTTTATACCGACAGGTAAAGAACTCTAGAATAGTCCATAGATCGTTAGGTGCGTAGAGAAGGTTTTCGAATGTTCTCGTATGTACTAGTCCATTCCAGTGGGACTCGATTCTTCTCAAACGAATGAATCATTACGGTGTCTATTCTTTAATGCGATGTTAAGGTCATCTGAGGGCGGGACATATAGTTAGGTTAGGTCGAGTCCACACGGGCCCGCAACAATATTATATTTTTTATATTTTTAGACCTATTTTCTCCAAGAACCTCGAAGAACCCCATCTTTTCATGATATCTTGACGACGTTTCGTGCACTACGGAACCCCAGCATCAATGAATCAAATAAATCAAATAAAAAAAAGTCCGATTTAAATGAAATTTGGTTTGTCGATTGGACCAAGGCCAACTTGACCGTGTACGATACGTGTCACTAGACTGTCACTGTTAGTTTTGACGTAATAAACGTCAAAAGTTGATGTCCGATCGCGACCAAATTTGGTGGGTAGGCTATGTGAGCGACGGTGCACAGGGTCCCACCCTACAAAGTTGCACCCTACAAGGATACGAAGTTTCGTTTACATCTTCACCAGGGTGAGACTAAGGATTTGATATTGAAGAAAAATGTAGGTGGATTTCGGCGTAATTGAGGACGGGCTACAGAATGATGGCCTCGGCGCCGGCGTTTCGAACCGATGCCTCAAAATGAACGAAATCATCAGGATTTTTCTTATGGGTCGATTGGAACCAAACTCGGTACGTAGATAGAGGTACCTGAATGGTCCTCAGACGAACAGACAGATAGACGGAAGTAAGAACTTTCACTTCAAATATGCGCACATAGTACACACACAATTTTTTTCTGATAAATCTAAAAATATTTCTTATAAAACTGAATAAAACATTCATAAACTACTGAAAACTATGTCAGAAAATATATTCAAAATCACTAGATTCAATTTAAGCTAACAATTAGTTTAATACTAAAGCCATAATTATGGTAAATTTAAATTGTTGCGAAAAAAACTTACCGATATTAACATGTGACTTTGATCGAAGTATTCCGCGACAGGAACAACATTTTTATAAAAATTATTCAATTCCATCTTAGCGAGGGATAAGACTACTTGTCCCAATTTGGCACCATAATCAATCTGTCGTTCTAATATCTTCTGTCGCCAGGCTATCAATATTACACCATTAACAACCTCGATCTGAAACAAAAACAAAATATTGTTTAGACAAATTAATATCAAATGAATTCTGGCCATAACTCAGTGATTTTTTAATGAGAAAATTTATTTGTCATTGTAAACTGATTGGGACTGTCGTTCATTTGTCAATATGAACTAATTGGAAATATATACAGGGGAACCAACAATGATTGAAATAGTTAGCGATAATGTGTTAGAGGATTTTAGAATCATTAATTGGTACGGATGCTGAAACAAATTATCGATCAAAGAAACTTATTTATACAGGGTCCGGCAATAGTGCGTCGGGCATCTGTAGCTCCTAGAATAAAAAACTTGGGAATTTTGTTTAAGTGCAAACCTAAAGTATGTACCAGGAAATATTTTAACTACTATAGAGTGGCTCAAAAAAGTGTGAGTGGACCTGGATGATTTTTTTTAAATGGAACACCCTATATATTATTGCATTTTTGGCTTCCTTTCAGATCACTTTACATAACCCTAAGATATGAATAAATATATTTCGATAGTTTCAGAGATAAAAAATAAATCAATAATATATATTTTTCAGTCCTTCTTAAAAAAAGTATTAAAAATACAAGAACTGTTCTAAAATCAAAACTATATTAGGTATTTACTTTAGATGGTCTGTACTTACTTTGCTATAAATATGAAAATCGTAAATTATACAGGACGTTCAAAATTCTACGCCAAACTTTCTAAAATATAAAATAATTTTTCTTCGTTTTTTTTAAATGGAACACCCTATATATTATTTTTTCAATAGACGGAGAATTAAAAAATGAACATTTTTGTATTTAGAGTATTTCAAAATTTTTAATGGTTTCGCAGATATTTACGGTTTTATATTTCATATGGCATTTTCCACAGTAAATTTTAATCAAAGCCACCTAATGATTTTTCTTTCGTATTTTACCATTGAAAGTGCCATATGAAATAATAGTGCGTGTATCTGCGAAACCGTTAAAAATTTTGAAATACTCTAAATACAAAAAATATTCATTTTTGAACTCTCCATCTAATAAAAAAATAATATACAGGGTGTTTCATTTATAAAAACAAAGAAAACATATTTTATATTTTAGAAAGTTTGGCGTAGAATATTGAACATCCTGTATGACTTACGATTACCATATTTTTAGCCAAGTAACAACAGAGCATCTAAAGTAAGTACCTAATATAGATTTTGAGAACAGTTCTTGTATTTTTAATAATTTTTTTAAGAAGGGCTGAAAAATACATATTTTTTATTTATTTTTTAATATCTCTGAAACTATCGAAATATATTTATTCATATCCTAGAGTTATGTAAAGTGATCTGAAAGGGAGCCAAAAATGCAATAACATACAGGGTGTTTCATTTAAAAAAAAATCATCCAGGTCCACTCACACTTTTTTGAGCCACCCTATAGAAGTTAAAATGTTTTCCTGAAATACATCTTGGTACATACTTTAGGTTTGTACTTAAACAAAATTCTCAAGTTTTTTATTCTAGAAGCTACAGATGCCCGACGCACTATTGCCGAACCCTGTATATATTTATTATAAGCAAATTATGTCATTCAACGACAACAATATTTTGAAAATCGTCCAACTATACGTTTTTGATATTTAATAAATAAGATTGTGTTCAGAAATAAGATTGTTGTTCGAATTTAAAATTACTTTGCCAATTATATTAAATTTCTAACCTTGCTCTAAATGCCCGAACAAAAATAAGCCATAATTATGTAAGTATAAGTATATTTCGTTTCTATGTTACACAGTAATATTTTACATTAAAAAAAATACGATTTCACAAATAACAGGGTCAAGTCTTGTAAAATTACAATATTTTGCTAAAAATGTTCGATCAGTAATAAAAAATTCTCATACAATGTATTGCCAACTACCTATTCAATTATTGATTTTAAAAATTATTCATAATGTCAACTACTATGACACTCACTTATTTCTGTAAAAATGTAATTATAGACAATGATAGGATACTATTTGAAATAACACTTTCTGTAAAAACTTTTTTTGAACAAATTTGGCAAGAAATGACGAAATTGCTACTAACCAAAGGATTTTAGATATTTTTTGGTTCCATTTGCTGTTGTTATTTATATACAGAGTGAGTTTCCTACGATGTTCTCTATGGGTATCTCGGAAACTACTGGAGATAGAGAGTCGCTTAAATGGGGAAAGAATTGCAGTTTTGTGGGGTCATAAATATGCGCCTTTCAGATTTTTGAAAAAGTTCATGGCTTACTAGATATTTCGAAAAAAACAAATTTCGGCTATCTTAAAAATTGTCCCTAATCCCATTATAAGCTATTTTAGACAAAAAGTTTTCAGATAAAAGTTGTAGATAATCACATCCTTTATGAGACTGTGTCCTCCGTTTTCTTCTTACAATTACAGGCTTTCTGTAATTTGACATATGACACAAACATGTTTTTTTAAATGAAAACCATAGTTGGCCATGACTTCATAAAAAGCGCCATTTTTTAAGCTTTTCAGCGATATAAGCTATAATATGTTTCCTTCGAAAAATTACTGAGTTATAGCCAATTCTTATAATTTTTAAACAATTTCACTTAGTTAGCCATGGAAACAAGTTTAATCGCCTTTGCTTTCAGAAATGTGAAGCTGACACATCCAAACTTTGTAAATTAAAATAAGCAAAAATTGTAAATATGCATATTTCAAATGAAGAAAAGCGTGTAGGATTATTGGTTCAACTTTTCTTGACCATACATTTTCGAGGATACGTTGACCGGTGAACGTTACTTACGTTTTTTAGAGAACGGTTTTCAAGATATGTTAGGAAAGTTGAATTTAGTTATAGCCAATTCTTATTTTTCTTGACTAATTTCAGTTAGATTGCATTCTGTTATGATTTATAACTTATAAAAAGTCAGAATATATTACTAAACGGTTCCTTACAATTTACATTACACAAACTAAAACTTAAAAAAATAATATCACTGCATACACTTTAAGTTATTTTAGAAAATGTTAAAAAAATCCGCCATTGTTTTGAGTTGCATCTTTTTAAAACTGAATTACTACCTATTCTCATAGAAGAACCGGTCGACTTAATTAAACTTCTCTAGTACCGCCACTCGAGAGCAACGACGATTGAACTTGTTTCCATGGCTAACTAAGTGAAATTGTTGAAAAATTATAAGAATAGGCTATAAATCAGTAATTTTTCGAAGAAAATATATTATAGCTTATATCACTAAAAAGCTGGCGCTTTTTATGAAGTCAAAAAACATATGTTTGTGTGTATGTCAAAAATGACAGGCATTAGAAGAAAACGTAGGACAGAGTCTCATTAAGGATGTGATTATCTACAACTTTTATCTGAAAACTTTTTGTCAGAAATAGCTTATAATGGAATTAGGGACAATTTTTAAAATAGCCGAAATTTTTTTTTTTTCGAAATATCTAGTAAGCCATGAACTTTTTCAAAAATCTGAAAGGCGCATATTTATGACCCCACAAAACTGCAATTCTTTCCCCATTTAACTGACTCTCTATCTCCAGTATAGTTTCCGAGATACCCATAGAGAACATCGTAGGAAACTCACCCTGTATAAATACTTTTGTGTCTCCATTTTGAGAGACTCAGTATTCCTCTCAGACCAATTAATACTTACCAACCAATAACACCAATAAACCAACCACCAAAATTAACCAATAAACCAATGACCAATAAAATTACTATCTATATTTGATACCAATTAAATTTTTAGTTGCGCAATCGAGGGCACAATTTTTAAATTCATTTTTGGCAACCATAGACATATTTGACGCCGGGCTTACTAACTGGAATTAAAATTTCCCCCTGGGTATTCCCAGGGGTGGTATCTCTGCTGTAAAAAATGTCAAGTTGCCACCTTTATTTATTTATTTCCTGGCATTGTAATTCATTTTGACACTTTAGTTTTGTATTACGAGTTTTTGGTTTAAATAAATAGTGTTGTGATAGTTTAACCTTAAAAACGAGAAATGAAATAACACATAACACCTTTATTAAAATGAAGCAATTCTTTTGTTGCAAAACTTTAAGTTACCACCTTAAAATACGAATGCTAAGATGCTACATATTTACAATAATGCTCTATGGTATAGAAGCTGCCACTCTAACAAAATAAATGCTTAAAAAAATAGATGCCTTCGAGATGTGGTACTCCGGATATCATACATTGACAGAATTACCAATGAAGAAGTCTTACGAAGAGTCTCAAAAGATCTAGAATTGTCCCAAGAGGTGAAAATCAAAAAACTCCAATATATGGGCCACGTAATGAGAGGTACAAGATACAAGCTTCTACAACTAATTATCCAGGGTAAAATAATAGGGAAGAGAAGCATAGGAAGAAGACGGATGTCGTGGCTTCGAAATCTCAGAGAATGGTTCAACTATACATCAAACGACCTGTTCAGGGCAGCAGTCAACAAAATAAAATTAGTCATGATGGTCGCCAACCTTCGCAAGAAGTCGGCACCTTAAGCAGAAGAAGAAGCTTGAAAATGTTTACTAGCAGACCTCGCAGCTGAACATTGTTCTTTTTAGAACTTCTTTTAGTGCGAAGTGTATAAGATAACTTAATAGCCGTAAAAAACTCATCGCACCTTTATTAAAATATTTTCAACGGGAAAGCGGTGGTAATGGCCCTTTATGTTCCTTAAGTGCTGTTAAGAAGGTGATTTTTGTTGATGTAAATAATAACTGTTTGTATATTTATAATTAATTAATTTTTGTTTCCTAAAACATTTTGATTAAAAGAAAATATGTAAAAACGGGCAACGCTGTGCCGGACAAGCTTAATCACGTGACAAATCAAGTTTATTTAATAAGAACTAATAGGTAATGAGATAAACTTACTTTTTCCGAATATTCTACAACGTCTCTCATATTTCTAGGATATCCGGATACTAAATAAGTTTTGGCATGAGGCGCCATCTTCATTTCTAACATAAGTACTTCTGTCACTGTTTTACTAGATAGTTGACCATAATCAGGTATATCTGAAAAAAAAAATATTTTTGTAGTAAATCTGATATCAATCGACAATAACTAAATTTTCGGTATCGTTAGAACTTATATTTTTTGTTATTGCAGTGAGGGTTTGTTATCATTCTTGTGGTACCTACGAACGACTGATCGGCAGAATGATCTAGACTGACTGAGACCAATCGATTTTACAGCTGTCATTTGTTCTCTAAATTTTTGTTTACATACAGGGTGGCGCACCTCATTCACCTCGGTTGATTATACGAAAACGGAAAGATGTAGAAACAAAATATTTTATGGGTATATGTGGGGAGACAATGTGCACAATTTAAAATTATTTTGAAATATAAAGGGTATTTCGGAACTAAGATCCATACCAAAGTTATATTTTTTCTTATGGAACACCCGGTATTTTATTTCATTTTTGGATTCTTGGGCCCAAAAAAGGCATGTTTTATAATTTTATAAGGGTTAAATATGTTTAAAATCTTTGGTTTTTGAGATATTTAAAGATATTAAATATGCATGCTAAAATAGAATAGATTATTAATACCCTGTACATTATGTAGGCTCACCTACCAGAATATCCAATACCAGTTCTAGTACTATACAATGTTGTGTCATCTTTTGATCCTAACTCCATCGCCTGCAACGTCTCTAGCTCGGGTCTCTCTGATCATGAAGCAGTTTTAACTGAATTTTCGATAAAGTCCAAAATCGAAAATGCCCCTCGTAAATTATGCCGTATTTTTTCAGAAAAGAATGCTCAAAGGTTCAGCCACTTATGTAAAACAACCAAATGGGATACTAGGTCTTATGATGTCGACACCGAATTTTCTATTTTCGTAAAAACATTAACCAGTCTAGCGTTCAAATCCTTTCCTTTTAGGCCTATAAAAAATAATCATAATAAACCTTGGACCACTAAAGGTCTACGCATATCTTCTAAAAACATGCGTTCATTATCTCACTTAAAAAAATTCTCAGACAGTGTCTTCTTCCACAATTACGTAAAACTATACAGAAAAATTTATCATAAAACTATAAGAGCCGCTAAGGACCTTTATTATAATAAGAGAATAGTCAATTCTGGTAATGTTGCTTAAATAAACATGGTCTATTGTGAATGAATTGAGAAACAAAGCTTCTTCGTCTAGCAATATCTCTACCTCACCTGAGAACCTTAACGATTACTTTGTAAATGTAGCGAAAAACTTAACTAATACCATATGACCTCCTCATGATCCACTTTCATATCTCTCTAATGATAATGTAAACTTACACAGTTTCTTTTTTTCGCCCGTAGATCTTGAAGAGCTTCGCAGTACAATTAATACCATCAAAAATAAATCCTCTTCTGGGACCGACGGGCTAACTTTAAAAATGTTTTCGAATCTGCCAGAAAGCACTCTGAATCACCTAACAACTTTAATAAACATGTCGTTCCAAAATGGTATTTTTCCAAAATGTCTTAAGGCAATAATCATTCCTCTGCATAAAGGAGGAGACAAAGATGAAGCGTCTAACTATCGCCCAATTGCACTCCTTCCAATGCTATCTAAGATCATAGAAAGGTTGGTTAAAAGAAGGCTGGCATCTTTTCTGTTTAAGTACAAAATACTTACTGAATATCAATTTGGATTTCTAAGTAACAAGTCCACAAATGACGCTATGTTTTCCCTCCTTAATAAAGTTTACTCCAGCCTAAACAACCATCATTCTACAGCAACAATGTTCTGTGATTTTTCTAAGGCGTTCGATTGTGTAAATCATAAATCCTAATTAATAAACTGCAGCACTATGGGTTCAGGGGATCATCTCTGGAATGGTTTAAGTCGTATCTGAGCAACAGAAGTCAACTTGGGAGTGTGAATACCACGTTGTCTTCTAGCAAGCCAATAGAATGTGGAGTACCACAAGACTCGGTACTAGGCCCTATTTTGTTTCTTCTTTTTATTAACGACATTGCTAACATATACATCAGTGGCAAAATATGTCTTTTTGCGGACGACACTAGCTTCACTTGGAGCAACAAGGACATCACGGCACTTTATAGGATTATATCAAATGACTTAATCACCATTAAATCTTGGTACGATTCGAACCTCCTGAGTCTCAAATTCAATTTTCAGTCAAATTTCTAAAACTAAAGCTTTGTCGTATATAAAATCGTTGCAGCCTTTTGTACTTAACAACAGCACCATTGACGTCGTAAAATCTGTAAAATTCTTAGGGCTTGTTGTGGACAATTCTCTGAAATGGGACATACATATGAAAGCTTTGTCGAAAAAATTGAACTCTGCCTGTTTTGCATTAAGGTCTGTTTCTAAGGAGCTTAACTTGTCAGTGGCTAGAACTGTTTATTATGCACTTTTTGAGTCGCACCTCAGGTATGCCCTTCCATTCTGGGGTACGTGTTGTGCGACTCAATTTGACCGCATTTTCAAGCTCCAGAAGAGAGCTGTTCGATATTCACTGGGACTAAACAGCAGAACTCATTGCCGGGACTTTTTAAAGAATTAAAAATATTGACTCTTCCTTCCTTATTTATATTTGAATCCGTTTGCCTAATACGTAAACATGTATCAGCTTCTCAAGAAAGGCCATCTCACACTTATCCACTCAGGAACGCGGAGCAAGATCTTTATCTACCTACCCCATGCTCAGAGTTAGTTAAAAGTTCAATATTATACAACTCGAAAAAAATGCACAATCACCTGCCATTTGAAATCAAATCCATAACATCATTTTTTTCATTTCGCAAAGCATTGAACTCTTATTTACGAGACAAGGCTTTCTACGCCGTAAATGAATTATATTTTGAAAATCGAATTTGATCTTGTAAACACTGGTCTAATGTTTGCTATTGCTATATTTACTAATGACATCGAAATAAATTTATTTAGAGGTCATTGATATTGTACTATAAACTAACTAAATATTTTTGAATATTATTTTTATTTTTTTGTTCTTTGACATTGTAAACATTTATAAATGTTTATTTTAACAATAAGACTGACAATATTATTTGTATAATGTTTTGTATTATCTTTTGTTTGTTTGTTTATGTACCTTGTTTTTTTACTTTGTTTGTTAGTTTACCTTTGTCTACAAATTGAAAATTTTTTTGACAATAAAGGCTTTTTTTATTTATTTATTTATTTACTTTTCAGAATTCTGTGCTGAGTTTAAAGATGGGGAAATAAACTTTACTCAAAAATGTTATTGCTTCCTTAAATTTATACAGGGGTACCAAAAATTGCTGATCTATTTTAAGGATTTGTTTTATATAAAAACTTCGTTATTTCAAATGGAACACCCTGTATTTTTTTAAATAAATCTAAGCAGATTCAAATGCTCTTTCAAACTATATTAGGGTTTCCTATACCTATCTAGCTCAGATTTTGAATAAAAAGCGATAAAATCGCAATCAAGATGGCTGGTGTCGCCATGGCAATTTTTTAGTGACACAGTACTTGAATTTACCTATAATAGTTTAATAAGCCAGTATTCATTATTTTATCAAGAAAAATAAAGCAGTATCTGCTAGCAGAACGAATGTTACCTACTAGTAATTTTATTTTGTGAGAAAAATTGCTTCTTGGCCTCAAGGGCTTATGCTCAAAAATATCCAAATAGGAATCTTCCATATAAGCGTTCCTTTGAAAAACTACTTGTTCTATTTCGCAGAGCTGGTAGTGTGGTTTATAAAAAAAAACCTATTAGTCAGAAACCTATATATCGTTGGAAGTGAAGAAAATGAATTTGCCGTAATTGGCTCTTTTATAAAAAATCCATATATCTACAAGCCATGATGAAATAAATCGGAGAACTACTTCTTCGTTTTACTTGATAGAATAATAACATATTCAATAAATATTATTTATTAAACTATTATAGGTAAATTAAATAAAAGTAAACTGCTATAAATTTAAATAAAGTCCATAAACTAATTTCGATTTTGAAAATAGCTACTAACTGTCACTAGAAACTTGCCATGACGGCATTAGCCCTCTTGGTTAGGTACCATTTTATTGAAACATTGCTCTTTATTCAAAATCTGAGCTAGATAGGTATAGGAAACCCTAATATAGTTGGAAAGAGCTTTTAAATATGCTTCGATTTATTTAAAAAAATACAGAGTGTTGTATTTGAAATAACAAAGTTTTTATGTAAAATAAATATCTAAAATAGACCAGTAATTTTTGATACCCCTGTATACATTAAACGAAGCAATCAAATTTTTCAGTAATGTTTATTTCTTAGCCTTAAAAGTCAGCAGAAGAATTAATTTTGAAAAGCAAAGGGTGTTGACAATATTTTTTATTGCTTATAGCATGCAAATTTAAATATTTCGAAATATCTCAAAAACCAAAGCTTGTAAACATATTTGACCCTTATAATAAATGCCTTATTTTCTGTCGACGCGACGGATCCTAATATGAAATAAAATACCGGGTGTTCCATAAGAAAAAATATATCTTTGGTGTGGATCTTAGTTCTGACACACCCTGTACATTTCAAAATAATTTTAAATTATGCATATTACCTTCCCACATATTCCCATAAAATATTTTGTTTCTACATCTTTCCGTTTTCGTATAATCAACCGAAGCGAATGAGGTGCGCCACCCTGTATAGATTCAAGTATTTTCTATATCTTTCTAGATTTGAATATGCTATATTCCCACTATTTTCCGTTTAATTTCTCTTTTATATCTAGTATGTCACTGATTTGCAGTGGACATCAGTTATTACAAAAAAGCTATAAGCGTGGGTGACGTGAACTGTCAATTGCGGAAAATAGTGAATGTTCCAAAAAAAATATATAAATATAGAAAATTAATTTATAGAAAAAATAATTTTCTATATACTTTTTTCGTTATTTTTTCTGATATTTTAACAGCTAATATTGTGTTATTACATTCAGATTATTTATTTGTTTTATATTATTTTAAGTGGTTTATTTTATGTTATTGTTTTGATTTTGTATTACAAATTATTTAACAATTAT